GGTGAGATGGGGTGACAGCAGGTGACAGCAGGTGACAGTAGGTGACACAGGGTGCCGTACCTGGGGGGTGGTGGTTGGTCGCATAGCCCTGCAGAGGGTGGGGGGCTCCGTAGGGCTGCCGGTGCAGCAGGTCAGGGTCGGGGTGGGACCCCCGCGAGCCCCCGTACACCAGGCTGGGGACAGGGGACAGTGTCACACGGGTGTCACCCCCCGAACACCCCTTCAGCCCTCACAGACCCCACAAACACCCCCTGTACCCCAGGCTGGGGACAGGGGACAGTGTCACACGGGTGTCACCCCCCATCCATCACAGACCCCCCAAACACCCCCCGAACCCCAGGCTGGGGACAGGAGACAGTGTCACACGGGTGTCACCCCCCCGAACACCCCTTCAGCCCTCACAGACCCCCTCAAACACCCCCGTACACCAGGCTGGGGACAGGTGTGACACAGGTGTGTGACAAGTGTGGCACACGTGACGCAGGTGCGTGACAGGTGTGACACAGGTGTGTGACAGGTGTAACACAGGTGTGTGACAGGTGTGACACAGGTGTGACACCCACAGGGGTGCGAGGGGTGTGACCTGTGCACCACAGGTGTGACACAGGCGTGTGACAGGTGTGACACAGGTGTGACACCCACAGGGGTGTGAGCTGTGCACCACAGGTGTGACACAGGTGTGTGACAAGCGTGACACAGGTGTGTGACAGGTGTGACACAGGCGTGACACTCACAGGGGTGTGACAAATGTGAGCTGTGCACACAGGTGTGACACAGGTGCGACGCAGGTGAGAGACCCACAGGTTGTGACACAGTTGTGACAGGTGTGACACAGGTGTGAGCTGCACAGGTGTGTGACAGGGGTGCGACAGGTGTGACATCCACAGGTGGGCAACAGCTGTGAGCTGTGCACAACATGTGTGACACAGGTGAGACACCCCCAGGTGTGTGACACAGGTGTGAGTTGCACACGGGTGTGACATGTGTGACACACAAGGCACCAACACACGGCCAAGGCTCCCGCTGACCCAACCCCCGGCACTGGTGGGTCCCACAACCCCAAATCCCAGAACAGGGACACCCCAACACCCCAAATCCTGGCACAGGGACACCTCAAAACCCCCACTCCCGGTGTACCCACATCCCGGTGCACCCCAGTCCTAGTGCACGGACACTCCAACACCCCCAATCCCAGCACAGGGACACCCCAGCACCCCAAATCCCAGTGTACCCACATCCCGGTGCATGGACACCCCAAATCCCGGCACATGGAGAGCTCAGCACCCCAACACTGCTGCAACCTGGGCACCCGGCGCCCCAAATCCCAGTGCACCCAAATCCCAGTGCACCCACATCCCAGTGCAGAGACACCCCGGCACCTCAAATCTCAGTGTCCCCCAATGCCAATGCACGGACACCCCAGCACCCCAAAACCCAGCCCACAGACATCCTGGTGCACGGACATCCCAGTGCATCCCAGTCCTGGTGCATGGACACCCCAGCACCCCAAATCCCAGTGCATGGAGAGCTCAGCACCCCAAATCCCGGTGTACCCACATCCCAGTGCATGGACACCGCAGTCCTGGCGCACGGACACCCCGACACCCCAAATCCTGGCGCAGGGACACCTCAAAACCCCCAATCCCGCTGTAGCCACATCCCGGTGCACCCCAGTCCTGGTGCACGGACACCCCAACACCCCAAATCCTGGTGCATGGAGAGCTTAGCACCCCAACACTGCTGCAACCTGGGCACCCAGCACCCCAAATCCTGGTGTACCCAAATCCCAGTGCACCCAAAACGCAGTGCACCCCAGTCCTGGTGCACAGACACCCCAACACCCCAAATCCCAGTGCACCCACATCCCAGCACAGGGACACCCCAACACCCCAAATCCCAGTGCATGAACACTCCAGCACCCCAAATCCCGGTGTAACCAAATCCCAGTGCATGGACACCCCAACACCCCAAATCCCGGTGTAGCCATATCCCAGTGCATGGACGCTGCAGTCCTGGCACACGGACACCCCGACACCCCAAATCCCGATGTACCCACATCCCAATGCATGGACACCCCAACACCCCAAATCCCAGTGCACAGACACTCCAGCATCCCAAATCCCAGTGCACCCACATCCCAGTGCACCCCAGTCCTGCAGCATGAACACCCCAACACCCCAAATCCTGGCACAAGGACACCTCAAAACCCCCAATCCCGGTGTACCCGCGTCCCGGTGCACCCCAGTCCTAGTGCACGGACACCGCAGCACCCCAAATCCTGGCACAGGGACACCCCAGCACCCCAAATCCCAGTACAGGGACACCCCAGCACCCCAAATCCTGGTGCAGGGAGAGTTCAGCACCCCAAATCCCAGCACAGGAACGCCCCAACACCCCAAATCCCAGTGCATGGAGAGCTCAGCACCCCAACACTGCTGCAAGCTGGGCACCCAGCACCCCAAACCCCGCAGCACCCAAATCCCAGTGCACCCAAAACGCAGTGCACCCCAGTCCTGGTGCACAGACACCCCAACACCCCAAATCCCGGTGTACCCAAATCCCAGCGCAGGGACACCCCAACACCCCAAATCCCAGTGCATGAACACTCCAGCACCCCAAATCCCGGTGTACCCACATCCCAGCACAGGGACACCCTAACACCCCAAATCCCGGTGCATGGACACCCCAACACACCAAATCCTGGTGCAGGGAGAGCTCAGCACCCCAACACTGCTGCAACCCGGGCACCCAGCGCCCCAAATCCTGGTGTACCCAAATCCCAGTGCACCCACATCCCAGTGCACCCCAGTCCTGGTGCATGGACACCCCAACATCCCAAAATGCAGTGCACCCCAGTCCTGGTGCATGGACACCCCAACATCCCAAATCCCGGTGTACCCATATCCCAGCGCAGGGACACTCCAGCACCCCAAATCCCGGTGTACCCACATCCCAATGCATGGACACCCCAACACCCCAAATCCCAGCGCGCCCCAGTCCTGCTGCACCCTCTGCACCCATCCACCAGCACCCCAACTGCCAGCACCCCGAGCCCTCAGCACCCCAATCCTGCTGCACCAGCACCCCAAACAC